CCCGCCCCCCCGCGCGGCGTGGCCGCGCCTTTGGCCGGTGGGCGCTGCGATTGGCGGGCGCCGCGATTGGCGGACACCGCGATTGGCGGGCGTCGAAGTCGCACCCCCGTGTTGTTGTCAGGTTTAGAGAGAAGATGGCGGCGGTTGTGAGGGGCATCGGGGGCGGGTTGGGTCGCAGCCTGCGGGAGCTTCGCATCCATCTGTGCCAGCGCTCCCCGGGCAGCCGCGGCGTCAGGTGAGTCGGGGCCGGGCGGCTGCTCCGCGGGCGGGCCCGGCGAGGCGGGAGCGTGAGGTACCGGCCTGCTCTCAGCCTGCCCGGTCCCAGCGGACTCAGCCACGGGGATCCATCGCTCCCCCTTCCATCCCCAGAGACTTCATCGAGCAGCACTATGTGACCCTGAAGAAGGCAAATCCCGACTTCCCCATCCTGATCCGCGAGTGCTCCGGTGTCCAGCCCAAGCTCTGGGCTCGGTACGGTAAGTGGGGGCCGCCTGCCGGCAAGCACCGCCGGGTCTGCAGCAAGTGGGGGGGTTCGGCAGTTACAGTAAGGGACATTGGCGGAGGGGGAGCGGCTGTCTGCGAGGCAAGGTGGGGACTGACTACAGAGAAGTGTGTTACAGCTGCGTGACCTGGTGGGAGGTAAAAAAGGGACCTGCGGCTCAGAAGGTGGTTTGCCAGCTTGTGGCTGCCATTTCCCACCCCGGTAGGATTCCTATACAGAAAAATGTTTCTGTTTTTAATTTGTTTTCCCTGCATTCTCAGTGAAATGCCAAGGAGGAAGCAGAAAAGCTCCTTTGTAAAGGCTTTGTTTTCTTCCTAAAGCCATCTGGGCTGGACAAAAATAGCTTAGAAACTTTCTTTCAGAGATGCAATGACTCTTTAAGCACAAGTTTCCCAGTGCGAGTGCACAGGCCAGTAGAGCCTGCTGATGTAGTGCCTGTCTCTTGTGTGTATATGACTTGCTGGGAAATATACCCCTGGGTAGGACGTGCTGTAGGAACAAGTTTTTTCAGCACGATTTTACTGAAGTGTTGGTGAGCATCTTGATGTGACCAGGCTGAAAGCCATCAGGCTGTTTTGGGATGTGGTGGTGCCCTCTGCCCAGCTGCTGCGCAGCACAAGTTAACAAAAAGAGGCAAGGAAATGTGTTGGGCTGCACTGGCTTCTCTCCAATGGAAAGGCTGAGAAAGAGAAGGTGGAAACAATAACGTGGGCACAGGGAGGCACTCTGGGGAGTGGTGGGTGTGAAAGGGTGGTGACAGGAACCTGGGCTGTGACACCAGTGATGCTTGGGAAACCTAAACCAGGGCTTTGGGTTGCCCTTGCTCTGGAAAAGGACCAAGGCACCTGCCCCCTCTCTCACCCTCTCTCTTTCCTGCAGAGTTTGGCAAGGAGAAGAGCGTGCCGCTGAACAACCTTACCGTGGATGAAGTGGCCAAGGTCTTGGAGAACATTGTGAAAAGCAAGGTGTGAAGACAGACAGTAAATATGTGTGCGCTGGAGACTTGACTGATGATCTTTAATGTAAAACATGTATCTTTTAATTTATCAATCACATAAATGCAATGTGCTTACCCTGAGCTTCGCAAGTTGGGTTTAAAGCCAAGAGGAGATGCTGGAGGGAACAGCCAATTCAGGAGGGTTTATACACCACCTCCCCATCATCAAGAGCCCATCTGCCCAGGTTGCAGCTCAGCTCTGCCCCTGCACCAAGCTCTGTGGAGGCACGAGGCAGCCTGCTGGTAGCTATGAGGTGGCAACAAGGATGGAAACACCCATATCTTGCCAAGGACCAGTGTCCCCATGCAGCCAGCATTGGTACTTACAGCTGGCGGTTAGACCCCTAACCAGCCCTTGGGAATGCAGGGCACAGGGTGAACAGTTTACTCCTCCTTGGAGTGCAGGGGGAGGGAAGAGAGGTGGTGTGGCCTAGGAGAAGGCAGACAACGTGGCATGGCAAGGACTGAAGGCGGAGGCTCCCAGGGGCTGCCCAACCATGTCCAGCAGTGCTCGTGCCCGCTCCTGGAGTTCTGGGGTGCTCTGGTGCTGCTCAAGGGCCCGGTGCCCGCCTTGCCTGACAAAGTCAGCAGCAGCCTGTGCGAGAGGTGGGGTGAGACCTGGCTGCCTGCCACCTGAGTATAGCTGCTACAGCTGATCCTGTCTGCCCAGAGCCACCACTGTACAGCCCAGGGAACGGGGCTGAAGGAATTCCCCAGAGCCCTACTAGATGCTAAATTCCCAAGCCAGGTAAATCCAGCCATGCTGATTGCTGGCTGGGAGTGCACAGGGCTTGAAGTCAGTACAACTGAATCAAAAGAATTCCCCCATAATAATCTCAAAGGGTACAAACAACCTGCCCAAAAAACAGTCATTGTCAATGAAAAGGAACTCCTCAGAGAAACAAGAAGGGTTTCCACCCTCTGCATCACACAAGTGCCCCCTTCAGGCACGTGTTTGGGTGCTGAAGAGTGGGGGGCTAGCATGGCAATGACTGAAAGCAGTATTATTTAAATAATAGTAATCATCCCCATCCACAGCTTTATGATGTCATGCCTGATTCTGGGGCAGGTACCCCCCTGCTCTTACCTCTGGCCAGTGCAGGAAGAGGAGGTGCAGCAGCTCGAGGCACTGCCCCACCACTTCAGGGTTGGGCAGTGTGAGGGTGGGCAGCAGCAGGGGCAGGGCAGGCTGCTGGTGCAGCTGCTGGCAGTAGCCTGGCCCCTTCTCTGCTATATTGCACAGAACTGTCAGGACCTGGACAGAGAAGCCGTGAGAGGGAGTGAGCAGTGAACGCTTCATTAGTGGGCAGATTCCTGACAGGCTTAGGAGGGCTCTCGAGAACTCCCCATGTTCTCCCTGGACGTCCTGCCAGCTGCTTCCCCAAAGCCATGTGCCCATCAACCAGCTGGATTTTGAATGGTCTTTAAAAGCCTTCTCCATCACCACTCGAAGGCACTGTTCATCCCTGTGCCAAGCAGATGCAGCTGTACCACCCACCCCTTGGCAAAGCATCCCTCCAGGACCCCCTAAAGCTTTAGGGTTTTCCAAAAGAAGGTGGCAGCAGCCTCCCTGGGCCTGCTGCAGCTGCTGGCAGGCCTGGCCCCAAGTGAACATCTGCCTTGGGATCCCTTTTCTGGTGGGGCAAGACTCCATCAAGGGTAAATACAGACACAGTGACTTCAGGGGAGGTGGATGGTGACTCTATCACAACATGAGACCTTCTGCCAAGCTGTTGCTACTGCCCCAAGCCAACCTCCAACTTCAGCACTGTGTGTGTGGGATTCATGCTCCTGAAAGTCCAGCTCTTCCCCCCAGACCTGGGACACAAGGCAAGGTCTTACCAACACACTGGCCATCTGGGAACATGGCAGGAGCTGCAGCAGGGCTGGGAGCAAGTCCAGGCTGAGCAGAGTGGAGCAGAAGAAGGGCTTGTCTGCTAGGGTGGGCAGAGAAGGAACGTGTCAATAAAATCAAGGTTTCTGAGGGAGGTCTCTGTAGACAAGATGCCATGAGTCTGCCAGCAATCAAGGCAGGTCCCAGCAGCAGCTCCGGCTCTGCTGACAGCCCCGCGGGACACTCACCTGTGAGGTTGTTCAGCAGCCAGAGGCACTCCTGTACGATGAACGGGTGCTGCTGGAGGAAGCACTGCAGGATGAGGAAGAGGGCGACAAGCAGGCGCTCGTCCTGGATCTGGACTTCACAGTCTGTCTCCTCCGCGAGCAGGTTGCTGAGACACCGCAGCACTGGGCAGACGAGCTGTGCCAGTGGGAAACACAGAGCCCTTTAGCCGGACCAAATCCCCACAGCAGTGCCGAGAACAGCCAGCACCCTGCCCGCGTCTTACCAGCTCCAGGCCCTCGGGAGCATCTTGGGGGATTTCAGAAGCCAGGTCGAGCAAGAGTGAGGTGAGGGCAGGCAAGGCCCCCAGTGACAGCAATGCCGCATTGGCTGTATGGCTGCAAAGGGAAGGGACAGCATGGTTGCTTTCAGCACTCAGAGAGGGGCTGTCACCTAACAATGGGGCCTGGAAATTCAGAGCAATCTCCTGAACCACCATAGGGCTTGTTTCATGTTTGAATAGCAGCTTGTTTCTGAGTTTATGAGAAAGTTTAAAAGCCAGTTTAAAAACAGATCCACTGGAATTATCTGTGTGGATCTGGAAACAACAGCCCCGATCCTTCTTTGAGTACCTACACATTTCTTTCTGCTGGGGCTGCTGAAAGAGATGGCACTGGAGCAGCCATGCCAAGGCAGACAGAGACTGTTGGCAGCAGCCAGCCTGGCCAGGTGACACTGAGCCAACCCCAGAAGCACGAGGATTCAGGGAGCTTGCCTTGGGGAGTGCAGGGGACAACTCCAGATACGGGGAGGCGATTGGGGGCGGTTTGGAGGGCTAGGAACAGCCTTCTCAGGTTTATCACCTGTTATTATCCTGTAAAGGAACTCAGTGATGCTGCAAATAGCATGTGTGTCCTCAGATACGAGAGCTGGAATGCCCAGGATGGCAGGGAAATTGCTTTCCCAAGGGAAAGGGGCAAGGGAAGGCAATCCTGGTCCCCTCACAGGACCCTGGGCCTTCATGCCTCTCTCTTTGGCTGCCCCCAGGGAACTCAAAATGAGGAGAAAAGCACGTTTACCTACAAATGATGTAGTGGAGACACCATGCAAACTCCACAGCTGCTCCTATCCCAGCCCTGAGGCCGGAGCAAACCAGTTGAAGCATGTGCTGGGGGAGAACAGAGTCCAGAACCAAGCTGGGGTCAGAACAGCAGAGTTAATGGAGGCACAGGCCAGAGCACAAGCAGGACAAACAACTGGCAGAAAGACACTAGCCCTGGCCACCAAGCAGAGAGTTGCTCTTGCCTGTACTGGGGGCCACATGCTCCAAAAACACGCCTAGAGGAGACTCTTAAGGGCTGCAGCCTCAGGCACCACTAAGGCCCAGCACAAGCTCTAGCTGTCCATGGCAGGGCCTGAGGGCACTCAGGACACCTTGGCTGGGGTCACATTTTTTGCACTGGGGGCTGTCAAGCTGATGTTTTCCTCTGCAGGAGGAATACAGCCAGAATTCCCCTGCGAGCCTTCCCTACTCAACACTGTCCTTTACTGAAATACCAGAGCTGTCTGCTCAGATGAGGCTGAGGGAAAAAAGTCAAGCCCTGCACCCTGATCTGCAACAGAACCTCCATAGTTCTGGTAGGATTCTGCTCTGAACTATTAATATCACTGGGATGAGAAAGGCGTTGCTGTCCCTGGCATGCAAATACCATGCTGGGCCCCAGGGCCCATCCTGATGCAGGGTTAAGAGGCTGTCATGGTTTAACCCCAGCCAGCAACTAAGCACCGTGCAGCCACTCACTCACTCCCCCTCCACCCAGTGGGATGGGGGAGAGAATTGTGAAAAAAAAACCCCAAAACCAGTAAAACTCGTGGGTTGAAATAAGAACAGTTTCATAGAACAGAAAGGAAAAAAATAATAACAATAATGAAATGACAATAATAATAAAAAAATTGGAACATACAGACCAAGTGATGCACAATGCAATTGCTCACCACTCGCCGACCACTGCCCAGTTAGTTCCCAAGCAGCGATCCGCCCCCAGGCCAACTCCCCCCAGTTTATATACTGGGCGTGACATCACATGGTATGGAATACCCCTTTGGGCAGTTTGCGTCAGGTGCCCTGGCTGTGTCCTCTCCCAACTTCTTGTGCCCCTCCAGCCTTCTTGCTGGCTGGGCATGAGAAGCTGAAAAATCCTTGTCTTAGTATAAACACTACTTAGCAACAACTGAAAATATCAGTGTGTTATCAACATTCTTCTCATACTGAATCCAAAACATAACACTATACCAGCTACTAGAAAGAAAATTAACTCTATCCCAGCCGAAACCAGGACAGAGGCTTGGACTCACGGTATGATCTCTGTGGGGGCTTCCTTGGCTTGGAGGAGCTGTGAGAGGACGTAGCCCAGACCTTCCAGCACAGCCTCATGCGGGGACTGCAATCAAACAGAACAAAGCTAATCCTGCATGACACAGCCAGGGGATCCCTGGGTGCCAGCTGCCCTGCTGGTGAGAGGGCGATACCTCTTTTTCACACCAAACCAAGCAGGTGATCCGTGCAGTCTCTCCATGCTGGAGAAAAGGGGGCATAGCAGGGGACCGGGGGTGACAGAGCAATCTGTGGCCACACCGAAGCTGAGCTGTTCCCCCTCCCCACACTCAACATGGGCTGCAGCTGTAGGGATCCAGGAACCCAAACACAGCAGCAGTGCTGCTTTGAGCATTCAGATCTGCAAACGACAGCCCTGCTCACTGTGTTGGTCTCATATGCCTGCTGGACCCAAGACGTGCAGAGGGGAGAAGCCTCCAGCTCCCCATGTTACAGACTGGTTATCGGCAAGCCGCAGTTACGGATGTGAGACATTCAGCTGCAGAAGAGCACAGGGTGGTGACCTGAGGCCCAAAAATGGAGTGCAGGAGAGCCCATGAGAGACCCTCACCTGCAGGGGAACAGCCCTCTGCAGAGGGGTCTCTGCCTGTGGCCACAGCTGGAAGGAGGGCTGGTAACTCC